GCGTGCGCCACGCCGTCAAGCTCTATATTAACAGTACACTGACCATAAAAATTCTGGTTTGACTGCACCTGTCATAATGTATTATTTTCCGTGTTTTCAGCTGTGGCTCCTGTCTTTTATGAGTATGACAATAACTAGTGTAGAGTGTTTGGCAAGCCTACAGGTTGGCATATGTTTACATAGGGGGTTCTTGGCGGGCAAATTCTCCGTTGGTCAGGTCTCATCGCGGTGCGGTACTGAGGTTTCATTTATATAATTACCACACTACTCTATTTCACACTTACCCTCTGCCTATCACAACCCCCATCGCTCTATCACCATTACCACCATGCCCTATCACACTACCCCATTGCCCTATCACACTACACATGCCCTATCACATTACCCCATGCCCTACTTCACTACTAACCACCATGCCCTATCACATACCCCATGCCCTATCACACTACACCATGTTCTTCACACTACCACCAGGCCCTATCCACATACCACCGAACATGCCCCTACTCACACTCACCACCCATGCCCTATCACATTCTACCCGCCATGCCCTATCACACTACCACCTGACCAGCCTATCACTCTACCACATGCCTATCACACTACACCAATCGCCGTATCACATACCCCATGCCGATCACGACCTACCACCTGACCTATCACACTACCACCTATCCCTATCACCACTACCACCTGACCATGCCCTATCACATTACCCCATGCCCTATCCACTACCACCGATGCTCTATTAACACTACCCCATCCCTATCCACACTACCAACCTGACCTATGGCCCTATCACACTTACCACCATCGCCCTATCACACTACACCATTGCCCTATCACATTACCACCATTGCCCTATCACACTACCACCATCGCCTATCACACTCCACCATGCTCTATCACACTTTTACCACCATAGCGCCTATCACACTACACCATGCCCTATTCACATTACCACCATGCCCTATCACACTACCACCATCCCTATCACACTACCACATGCTCTTATCACACTACACCATCCCCTATCACACTACACTGACCATTGCGCCTATCACAGTACCCATGCCCTATCACACTACCACCAATGCTCTATTACATACCCCTAGCCCTATCACACTTACACTGACCATGCACTCATCACACTACCACCAATTGCTCTATCCAACTACCACCATGCCCTATCACTACGTACCACCATTGCCCTATCACACATCCTCTGCCCACCTATCACACTACCCCATGCTCTATCACATTACCACCATTGCCCTATCACACTACCACCATGCCTATCACACTCACCACTAATGCCCTATCACATTACTCACCATTGCCCTATCACACTGCACCACCATGCCCTAGACACTACACTATGCCTATAACCATTAACCACCATCCCTATCACACTACCACCATGCCTATCACATTAGCCACCAGGCCCCTCATACACTACACCTACAATACCTTCCCACACTATCCTCATGCCCTTCCACACTAGGCCCTACACCCCATCCCTTACCTCCCCCTCTCCCTCCCCCCTCCCCCGCCTACCGTCGCGTGCCACGTCTGCAAGTGTGCATCGTCGTCGTCGTCGCGCGTGTGGCTTCGCCGTGATGACGTGGCAGTGAGCGTGTCCGTGTCGTGATTGCAGGGCGTGACCTCGCCGACGTCCCCCGACGCGGAGACGCAGCAGCAGCAGCAGCCACATCAGCAGTTTGGCGACGCGGCGCTGGATCGGCTGCGCCACGGCGGCCGCGACGGCTCCGACCCGCGCCGCAACCGCATGCGCCCGCAGTCGTCCATCGAGAGCACGCAGAGCTCCGTCGAGTGGGTGAGTCGTCGTCGTCGCCGCGGCAACGGCGGCGGGCGTCACGTCGTTTCGATCGAGTCGCGATGTTTTGAGTGCATGGTGGTGATGTTCCGATTGCGTCACGGCAAGAGTAGATAATAACAACTTATTGTTATTATCTACTCTTGGTCACGGCATGTCGATTGTGTGGTGATGTTTGCATCATGGTGTGTCGATTGCATCACGATGTTTTGATTGCGTCATGAAATTTTGATTGCATCATTGATCGCGTCTCGCCGGCTAGATTATAGCACGAAACATCTTGCCTTTCCCCATGTAGCAACGTGAAGGGTAAATAGGGGCCGGTGATATGACGCCAGCAGAGCAGCACAGCTTGACTCAGTAGCTTGTTTACAAACAGTACAGATTTATTGGTCTGTTCCTTCACTGTAACAAGGGCCGAAATGATGTAAAAACCACCACACGTGTAGTCGGCACCAGGGGGTCAAGAGGAAAATGTCGGCCGACGAAAAAATCGCATAAGCTGCTTGGTGTTTTTGCATGTGAAAGCGGGTGTTGGGTGGCCAATGATGCCGTACGGTCTCCTGATTAAGAGCGATGCTGCCGCTTAATAGACAGTATAGGTGTCATCAATTAGACAGTGAATCTGGCATGTATTAGACAGCCATAGAAGCCATCACCCAATTGACAGTAAAGCTATCACCCTCAATCCGTCTTCCTTGTTCATATCGATCCCTAGTGATGTAAGCCCCAAGTCTGCTTACAGACTCGGCGGGAGTTTTCCCGATATTACAAAGGCATGCTCCGCGCGCCATCGGCAAAGAACATCGGGGGGGGGGGGATTGTCCTGCATATCGTTAATTGTGTCCACAGATATCTCCGTATCTTCATGGAGAGTTTCCTTTATTGGTCGTCGATGGTGCCATCGACGTGTTTCCTTAGCAGGTGTAGTGAAGTCGTAGGAAGAGTGGTGAAGTGGTAGGAGGGGTGGGAGGTGGTATGAGGAGTTATACTGACGCAGTAAGCGGGGTGGGGAATGGTTGTAGGCGAGAGTTAGAATGGGCAGAAGTCAGCAGACAAAAGTATGGCGGTGAGAGGGTAGCGGTGAAGGGCTACTATATGAGGGTTTAAATGAAATGGTTCACATTTGCGGCTTTTTTACATCATTTACATTTTAATTATATCATTATCAATATTATCACCCATGAAATGCGCTTTTAATCACCCCTCCCCCAGAGATTGCAAACCGAGCGTTTAATGTGAACAGACTGTTTCGTTGTCATTCGGCCGTCACCGCGGCTAATCGTTGTCGCGGCGTGACGAACAATCTCGCTCGCACCCGGCCGCATCAGCCATGCGGACCGCTTACGTCACGAACGACGCCGTGGCGCGCGAAATCAACAGCTGCTCGAAAAAATTGTGTCGCTCGAACGTAAATGTGCGTGCGTGCGTGCGTGCGTGTGTGCGTGCGTGCGTGCATAGGTGAGTGCGTTTGTGTAAAACTGAGGAAAAATAAAAAATCTGCAAAGCCACAGAAGTGTCCAGCGCCATTTTCGAAAACGAGTTCACATCGCTTCTACTGCGTCATTGCCATCATCGTTGTTCATTTTTCCCCTGTCACAGAAACTAAAGTACGATTACACGCGCAACCCCAGTGAGATCATCGCTGCCGAGATGAGCGCCTGCGGAAAAAGGATCAAGGCCCTTGATGCGCAGTTCATCTCCAAAACGGACTCCGGGGTGAGTGCCCAGCAGGTGGCGCCGGCGTTCGCGCGCCGCGCGTCAAGCGTTATATTACAGGTACACTGAACCATAAAAATCTGTTTTTGACTGCACTGATTAATGTATTATTTCCTGTTTTCAGCTGTGGTCTGTCTTTTATGATATAGCAATAACTATGTAGAGTGGTTTGGCAAGCCTACGGGTTAGGCATATGTTTACATAGGGGGTTCTTGGCGGGCAAATTCTGTGGTCAGGTCTCACGGGTGCCGGTACTGAAGGGTTTCATTATATAATATACCACACTACTCTATCACACTACCCTCTGCCCTATCACACTACCCCCATGCTCTATCACATTACCACCATGCCCTATCACACTACTCCCATGCCCTATCACACTACCACCATGCCCTATCACACTACCCCCATGCTCTATCACACTACCACCATGCCCTATCACACTACCACCATGCCCTATCACATTACCACCATGCCCTATCACACTACCACCATGCCCTATCACATTACCACCATGCCCTATCACACTACCACCATGCCCTATCACACTACCACCATGCCCTATCACATTACCACCATGCCCTATCACACTACCACCATGCCCTATCACATTACCACCATGCCCTATCACACTACCACCATGCCCTATCACA